AGACATAAAAGAAAGGCATGATTTAGACATTTTGTTGAAATCCATTTGAAGATAACTGCCAACAGAAGTGGGGAGGTCTGCATGGAATCTAGAAAAGAATTTAAGGTGGCCTAGGTCTGAGCTCACAGAAGAGAAGGCTACCATTGCAGGCATATGTTTTTGTGGGACAGCAGGAGCCTCAGAATTAGGTGATGATGACCATCAAAACCATTTGATTAACTTTTCTCAGTTTGACTCTATATTCACTAAGCTATTTCTGATTATTATGTGGCTTGAGAGAGACAAAGAGAGAGAGAGGGTTCACCTAAGGGTCTATGAGGTTTTACTAGAGCAGCCAGCTAGCCCCCTTATCTCTCATCTCAATCAACTCTACCAGAATTAATAAAACAAATGTGGTTGCTTTTGTTAAAAACATAAAAAAATCAATATGTTTTTAAATAATTAATTTTTAAAAAACAAAAAATATTCTTAAAAGTCAATAATCCATCTCCCTAACACAACCAAAAAATCATTTCATTAGTAAATATTTTGATGTATACATAATGATTTGACTACTATGATTTTAAAATACAAAGATATCAATATTAAACAACAGAAAAGATATGTTAATGACATGACCCCAGCCTAGTTCTTCATTGATCAGCACCTGGTTAGTGGCTTCAAGTTTCAAATGCATGCTGTATCCTATGCTTTTAAAAATTCTGATAGGCTTCACTCAAGACTAGTTACATCAGAATCTCTGGGATGGACACAGAAATCAGTATGTATATATACATGCATACACACACACGTATATGTATATACTCTCTAAGTGATTCCAAAGTTCAGTCAAGCCTGAGAACCACTGATCTGCATTTTGAGGATAATATTTGAGGTCACAGTCCTGTCTTAAATGTAAAGTTTCACTTGTTTGTGTTTGCTTTTGTGGACTTCTAGAATTATTTTTGTTTTGCTTTCGTTTTAGAGTTGTCATTGCAATGAATGAAGAGTCCCTCACACGGGAAGCAGAAGCAAAAAGTGTTAAAAGTTTCATTTTTCTTCTCGCTGTAAACCAGAGCATATCTAAAGACAGACTGTAACACTGGCACACGTCAAAGAGACTCAGAGATAGATTCACTTAGAAAAGGAGTTTACTTGCAAAAAGTGCAAGGGAGTTGGACTGAAGAACTAGTTTGCCAAATACCTGTACTTATGGGGGAAAAAAATCCCCTAAAATTACCAGGATTACCAGTTGACAGTTGATTGTTCATGGTGGAAAAACAGTAACTTTTCTCACATGCTTATCACATTCACAAAGGTCAGACAAATCGTTAGACATTAGCAAGGTAAATATTAGGGATTAAACTGTTTAAAGGGAGTCCAAGGACATATTAAAGATTTTATTGTTTTGGAGATCAGAAAATCAGGATGACCCTGCAGTTTTTGAGTTATGTCCTATTAAGTTTAGTCATAATGGAAGGAGGCGGAAGGCTCAGATACTGCCTTTACGTACCCTCAAGCCACCAAGCCGGTTTCATTCTGAGAAGGAAGTCACGAATTTGACTTCCGGCGCGCGCTCAACCCCAGGCTCCAGGGGGCGGGGCGAGGCCGCGTGGGCTTGTGGGCAAGCACGGGAGGCGGGGCTCGGCGTGAGTCTCTGCGGGGCTGACTGGGCGTCAGTGCGGAGGGTGACGATCTGGTCAGGTGAGTTGTCGTTGCGGTTCTCGCCGGCAGGAGCAGCGGAGGAGATCCTTGGGGTGGCCGGTGGGAAGAGGGGTAGCGGTTATGGGTACTGGTGAGGCGGAGTGGGCTAGGGCAGGCGGCGCAGGCGCGCGTTGGGGCGGCGCGTCGGTGTCCAGGGTAGCGGCATCCCGGGGCGCGCGTTCCCGGGAGGGGCTCGCCCCAGCTTCCTGGGCTCTGTTTTGCGGGCGGACCCTCCACCCTGCTACCCGGGGTGTTGGGCGATTTGCAGTGCTCGAGATGGCAGAGCCGCACTCCCGCAAAATCCGCGGTGGGGCCCGCGGTGCGGTGTTCTTCGGGACAGCGGGTGTGAAAGTGGTATCCCAAGCCCTGGAAGTTTCTGGTTGCTGGCTCGCACCCTTATCCCATCGCAGGGTCCCTGGGAGTGTTTGGGCCTGCTCGAGCAGCAGCGGTGATGGGTGACATGAGAAGCACCTAATCCCCGTCAGCATCTTACTGACTCGTTGCGCTTTTGTTCATATATTTGAGTCCCCAACAAAGCGTTGTGTAGTTTTGATTTTGAATGAGATGTGCATATATGATCAAACATGGACACTGCCTGAAAGAAGCTTAAACCTAATTTAGTTGTTGAGGCTACGGGTCAGAAGACCTATCTGCATCTGCAATTGTCCCTTCTTAGTGAGGTAATTTTCACTGTCCTAAACAAGTGCTTTTTGTAATTCCGTCTCTCCTTCTCCCTCCTTACTTCCCTCCCTCTGCCCTCAAGCTTTGAATCTTCTCCCACCTTTTTGGAGATTTTGGCCCATTACTCATCCTTTTTCCTGTATCTTTCACTTTCTTCCTCTTTCCACAGACTATGCTCAAGAACAAGTCTTACATTATCAAAGGCAAATTTACTCTAATCTCCATATAATCTCATTTACTTAACTCATTTCATCCCCCCCTCCTTTTTTTTTTTTTTTTTTTTTTTTTTTTTTTTTTTTTTTTTTGTCCCAGACTGGAGTGCAGTGGTACGATCATCGCCCACTGTAGCCTCTATGTGCGGATCCTCTCACTTCAGCCTCCGGAGTAGCTGGGACTATAGGCACCTGCCACCACGCCTGGCTAATTTTCGTATTTTTAGTAGAGACGGGGATCTTGGAGTGTTGGCCAGGCTGGTCTTGAACTCCTGAGCCCAAGCTCTTCCCCTTGCCTGCCAACCCCTGCCTCTCAAAATGCTGGGATTACGGGCATGAGCCACTACCCTTGGCCTCCCACTCTTAAAAAAAAATCCCATTGAAACTCTGAATCGAGGCCAGGCCCGGTGGCTCACACCTGTAATCCCAGCACTTTGGGAGGCTGAGGTGGGCGAATCACGTGGTCAGGAGTTTGAGACCAAGCCTGGCCAATATGGTGAAACCCTGTCTCTACTAAAAATACAAAAATTAGCTGGGCATGATGGCACGTGCCTGTAATCCTGGCTACTCAGGGGACTGAGGCAGAAGAATCACTTGAACCTGGGAGGCAGAGGTTGCAGTGAGTGGAGATCGTGCCACTGCACTCCAGCCTGCGTGACAGAGTGAGACTCCATCTCGAAAAAAAGTAACAATAATAATTATTATTTTAAGGCTTATCCAGCAGCTATGATTTGAATAACTCTAGGAGACCAGAGAGACTGGGGCTCTCCATTTTAACCTCAATTATGCATTTCTTCCCCAACCTCATTGAGAACCAAATGCTGTACCACAGAGCTGGCTGTGAACTATGGTTTAGATGGGTCAAATTTCCAATTAAAGTCATTGAAGAAAACTTGAAATGAGTGTCTTCTTTGTAAATGGCCTCCCTCCTTGCCTTTTCCCTGGAGCGGGGCTAGGAGTGACACTTCTGCTCTAGCTTCTTTTCAGAATGGCTTGGAGAATGCAGTATCTGGGTGAAGTCCCCGTTGACTCAATAAGTCTCTAGCCAAGAAGGGAAGAGAATTCTGTAATATGAAGAGTGGAAAGAGCACTGCATATAGATAATGAGGAGGGGGGTAAATGAAGACTGGTGGTCCCCATCCTCAATAACCAGTCCCCTTGACCACATACACAGGAGTATAAGGACATTTCTGGATGTAGCTTCTGTGGTTGCAGAGGGTGACCACACTGGGTGAAGAGGAGATGCTAAAGAGATACAGAAAAAGACTTCTTATCTGTAAACAGATTACTCAAGCCACAATGCTAGAAAAAGGTCAGGTATGAAGGGATACCTCGGGCAAGTTACAGACTCTAGATAGATGGAAAAGGGCCTTGTCTTGTCCTTGCCCAGGGATGTTCATGGTCAACAGGCAAGACAGGGAGTCAGTAGAGCATAGGGCTAACAGGTACAGGCTCTGAGGTTATGTCGCCCAGGTAACTAGCCAGGCTTTGTTGCTTACTGGCCATATGAGCAAATTTCTTAATTATTCAGATCATTTCCTCACCAGGCAAACGGGGATGATATTACCACTGTTGTGAGATAAGGAATGTAAAATAGCATGCTGGTCTTTCTTATAGTAATTCTTGTCTCATTTATCATACAGATTTAATTTTATACCAGGAGAGGCAATTTACTATCCCTGCTATCAGCCTTAACCTTCATCTATTGGTCCCCAGTACTTGTGCTCTTCATAGGTCTCTTCAGAGGTCTTCCAGGTAGTCCAGTAGAAGGCAGAAAGGCAGAAACGCAGGAGAGAGTACTATATGCCAGGGTCTGGGCCTTAGCTTTGCAGGAGAGCAGGGTAAGAACTAACATTTGTTAACCTGTTACCATGTCCCAAGCTGTGCTAAGTAGTCCTTTCACATTCATTTTCTCACTCTGGTGGATATTTTGAACTTCACCACTTTTATTTTACTTAGACAACTGAGGCTCAGATTAAGCTACATTCTCAGTAGCAGAATCAGGATTACAAATTTCAACGCTTTTCCTCATGTTGTAGTGAGCTTGGATTTCTAGTAGTATCTACTCACTTGTTAATTCATTATTTTTTAAAGAATATTTGTTAAGACCCTTGACAGAGGTTATGCTGCTGGTTACTCCTCTGTATCTGCTCTCCTCTTCTTCCTTATTCATTGAACTCTCAGTTTTTAGGTACGCAAATGACTGTCAAGAGTATAGACTCTTGACCTCCCTTGCAACTGGAAGTCGACATGTGTCTAAGTCCTCACCAATGGCATGCAAAAGGAAGTATTCTTAATGGGCAGGGGGTACTGTTATTCCCACTCTTGCCCCTTTCTGCTGACTGGATTTCAGACAAGATCATGGGAGCTTGAGCAGCCAGCTTGAACCACGAATGAAAGCCATGTGCTGAAGATGACAGAGCAGCCAGGAAGAAAGAGCCCGGGTCTCAAACTGGAACTATCACACTAGTCCTGGATTGCTTATATTCAGTCTTATATGAGAGAGAAATAATCTTTTTTCATGTTTAAGCCACTCTTATTTTGGGCTTTCTGTCACATGCAACCAAACTTAACATAATATCTACATAACAGGAAGTCCCAAGGGTCATAACTTTTCTTCCCAAAGTTACTTAGCTAATACTTCCTTTCTTAAGATTTACATTAACTGTCAAATTCTTTAACTGTTTTAAAGATCTTAATACTTATTTTGGATATTAAAATTAATAGCATTCACAATCATTAATTGCAGCATTTTAATTGCAATAATAAACACTCCTGTTTATTTCCACTGACCATTACAATTTCAACATATAAAACACATAAAGAGGTTTGTTTCTTTGAAAATAACTATTCAGATATTAATAAGTTCAATTGAGATGATTGGAGTAAATAAATGAATAAAAGAACAAATAAGTGAGCATTTGCAGGAAACTAAAGTAGACCCTGACAATCCACAGGCCCCTGCAGTTTTCTCCATC